ACACATTCTCTGCTAGGCTTCTAGAATACCAAAAATCTCTTAGAGTTCCTCCTAAGTAAACTGGCCACTCTCAGTATTCTTTGCTGACCTATTAATATTGGAGTGTTCCAGAACTCAATCCTCTGATCTCTTTCTTTCTTTATTCTCATTCTCTTTGTGATCTCATCTAACTTAAAACCCATCTCTATGCTGACCTCTCACAAATGTATATCTGTAGTCCAGACCTTTCCCCAGAATTCCAGACTTATATATATAGTCAATTACTTAACTTCTCTGCTTGGATGTATAAAAGGCATCTCAGTACAAACATATCCATTACTGAACTCTTTATGAGCTCCCTCAAATCTGTTCTATCCTACAATATTCCCCGTCTTAGAAAATGGCAACTCCATCCTTCCAGTTGCTTGGGCTTGGAGTCATCATTGCTCTTCTCTTTCCCTCATATTCTTCATTCAGTCTTGCAATTCTGCTTTCAAGTTCTACTTCCAAACATTTTCAACCATATTTACTTAACCACCGTGGCCTAAGTTAACAGTAAAGTTAATAGCATCCCTTGCCATGATTATGGCATTAGCTTTCCTGCTTCCACCACAATCCTTTCACAATCTATTCTCAGTCCAGCAACCAGAATTATCCTTTTAAAAAGTATGTCAGAACATGTCATTCCCTTGATCAAAACCCTTTAATGGCTTCTTGTCTCTCACAAATTAAAATTCAAAGTCCTTACAAAGGACTTCAAGGTCCTACATCATTTGGCTCTCACTATGTCATTTGGCTCTCACTATGTCTCTCAGCTCATCTCAGCTGTTTTCCCCCTTACTCATTCTATTCTAGCCACACTGGCCTCCTTGTGGTTCCTTAAGGACACGAGGCACACACCCACCTCAGGACTTTTGCACTTGCTGTTCCTTCCACCTGGAATACTCTTTCCCCAGAAGGCTCACTCCTTTAATCTCCTTCATGCCCTGGCTCTAATGTAATTTTCTCAGTGAGCCCTACCTTGACTACCCTATTTAAAATGCTAAACATCCATCCCACTCTGGCACTTCTTCCCCTTCCTTATTTTTTTTCTTTTGTATGTATCACCCATCTTACACACTAAATTTTTACTCATTTGCTGTTTCTTTGCATTAGTATGTAACACGCAGGAGAGCAAAGATTTATCTGTTTTGTTCATTGCTATATCCCCAGCACCCAGGACAGTCCCTGGCATATAGCAGGAACTCAATACATATTTATTAAATGAGTAATGAATAACTATAAATAACTTATTTGAGGAATTTTGCCGTAAAAGAGCACAGAAATGGAGTGCAGGTAGGATAAAGTGAGGTTTAATTTTTTAAGTTGTATAATATTATGAAATGCTTATATGCTGATGAAAATGATCCTGCAGATAAGGCAAATTTGATAATATAGAAGAAATAAAAAAATCTGTGAGAATCATGACTTTAAATAGGCAGTAAGAAATGGCATCTGGTATACAACTGGAGGGATTGGCCTTAGATGGGTGCAAAGACAGTTTGTCTATAGAAACAGAAGCAGAGGCAAAGAATATGGCTACAGATGCAGGTAGATAGATCTTGTAAAATATCTCTGATTGCTTCTAATCTCCTCATCAGCTAATTTTCTTTCTGTACCAGCTGAGATGAAAAGAGAGACAAGGCACTGAGGCATTGGATATTTGAGAGGCAAGGAGAAGGTGTGAAATAGTTCTCTAAGGAAGTGGGAGAGTTAATTAGAGGAAGGTGGGAGGATTGCTAGGCTTACTCACAGTTAGTTGTCAGTAATTTAAAATAAGCCTAGTCAGTATGGTAGTGTTTTTACTCTAACCACGTTCAGGTACACGTGCAGGGAAGGTATCAGTGTTGGATTTAAGCAGGTTTAGTGTTTTGTCAGGCAAACAGAAAGAACTAAGAGATGAGCAAGGTTGTTGATGGTGTGTGTGATAAACTAATTATAATGATGGACTACGAGATCTAAGTTAGGTAAGATGGGATGTGAGGGCATAGGCGGGTGACGGTAGGGTAGGTATAGTTAGAGACACTGTAAAGGTGATTAGGTGAATGAATGAATCAGCCATTTCAGCAAGTTTGAAGAATTTTTGATTTGAGAGTACTACAGGGAATAAAAGGAGTGCTGATGGTGCAGCGATTAAAGTGCTCAGCTGCTAATCAAAGAGTCAGTGGTTCGAACCCACCAGCTGCTCCATGGGAGAGAGATGTGGCAGTCTGCTGCCCTAAGGATTATATCCTTGGAAACCCTATGGGGCAGTTCTACTCTGCCCTATAGGGTCGCTATGAGTCTGAATTGACTTGATGGCAACGGGTTTGGTTTTTTGGTTGCATAAGGAATAAGTCATAAAGATAGGGGATGTTGGTCAGAGAGGAGGACACTTGAAAATGGGATTATGGAGAAATGCAGTTATTGACAGTAACAAAGTCAAGGATCTGACCAATGGGTGGCAGACCATAGGGTGGGTGATTAACGTGGAGTAGAGGGCAAGTTTGCTGGACGAGAGGTCAACAATTTAGAGGAAAAGGTATTGGAAGGATCAACTATGTGAATATTGTAATGCCAAAATTAATCCAAGTGTAGTGTTAAAAAGAAGACAATGGGAAGGTGCATTTTTTTTTTTTTGACTAATGGACAGTGACCTGACGTTTTACTGATAATTAGAATAAGGAGGTGTAGTAGGTGGTATAATCATATTGGCACAGCCTTCAAAGGGACTGGACTAGGAGATTTTATGGAAAAGAAATGGAAAATGATCTGGAATTGGCAATGAGGGTCAAGGAAGACATCTTACTCCATTTTAAGGCTCGATGATAAAAAAAGAGGCCTGCAGTAGAAATATAAATCATAGGACAGGTTTCAGTTGGTGTAACAAGGTGAAGGGAATGTTCTGAGAAGAGGTTAAGAATATAGGGGGCTGAGATTCCATCAGCAAAAAGGGTCTTCGCTAGCTACTGTACCTGAATATCCAGAAATTTTAATTTTCAAAATATGATAAAATAAGACAATCTAATTTTCAGGGGTAAGAAAATACTACATCTTTTATGGAATGTGTTCATATTTTAAGTTGCTCAAGTTCTTATCCAACTCAGAAAATGAAGCCTGGTAACCAAAGTGTTTGTTGGAAAAATGCGGGGCAACTTAAACAAATAAAAAGTGTTACATAAAACATATGTGATTTAAAGCCATAAAACATAGAAGTATCTGTTGATGCCATAAAACATATTGGGACAGCCCAGTTGGCTCAGAAGGGGAGCAATAGACTTAGGAGAGTTTTGAGATCTTTTTCATTATTCTTGTCGCTTTATTATTTTAAAATATTGAACCAACTCAAGCTCACTAGTCTATGGATCTGAGTAGGAGAAAGCTTTCACTAATGTGATGCCATAATGTTAATTGGCTGAGAAAATTTCTTGTTATGTCATGGAGATGGCAAGGAGAGAGAGAAAGTACTTATTTGGTTCTTCAACCACAAGATGAAACAGGGTGCCAGAGATTCCAGAGTCTGAGATACTCAAAAGCACTACTCTCTCAGCCACCTAGTTTTGGCTGTAACTTTTTCCCTGTTCTTCTTAAAAGAGTTGTTACTGCCACTTATTGTGCACTTGCTAGATGCCAGGTTCCACACTAGACCCTTGAACACAGTGCAAATGGGGACTTCAGACTGCCCTACCTCCTGTGTCTGCTGAAGCGGGAGAAATCTTGTGATCCCAGTTGTTAAAAAAACACTGATGGAGTCCAGTTCCTTGCACCCAGTGAACAGGTAGGTATACACAAAGTCTTTTCTTCCAAATTAATGCAAATAATACTCGAGTGTCCATTGGACTCACTGCACATTGTGAATTGGTAAAACCCAAATTAATGAGGTTTGTTATGCCGAGGAAAGTAATCTGATGATGGGACTGTTCTTATCTTGTCAGTATGGAGCCAACATTTCATAAAGGAATGGAAGGCTGAGGATTATGTACCTGGCAGTAATGTCTTTCATGAAAGATGCAGAATCCAACTGTTTAATATTTCTATCTCTCTCTATTTCCTCCACAGCTTGTAAGAAATGAGGTCCCTTACTCTATTACTCTAATTGAATTCCAACTTGGGTAATTACACGATAATTAAATAAATTTTCCCCACAGTTTTAATTCACTGACAAACAGTTAGTCAAACAGCTGCAATTCATTCCCAGAAACACATCCCCAACTATATTTCAGTGATAAGTAAGTGATTTATATTAGGGAGATGTGTGTCTGGAAAAACGCACAGTTCATAAAATATTTTAGGTATCATTCATGATTACATATGCTTTGCTCAGCATGAGATAAGATTAATTTCTATTATAATCTTTCATCTAATTTTTCATATGCTTAGTGCCTAAAGAAGTAAGACAGTTAATTAGCATTTCTTGTTTTCAGAACAGTTTTTGTTTAGTTAACCAGTAGCTTGTAACTACCTGTATTTTTTATTTCTAAAGCTTATCTCATTATCCCTGGAAGATAAACTAGGGTAGATGTTGTTTCCCATTCTACAGATGAGAAAATTGAGGCAGTATTCTCCAAGGTAAGGAAGCTAGTTATTATTAGTACCAGCTTTGAAACTCAAGCTTCCTCTGATCCCTGGCCCAAGGCTCTTTCTGTCAAATGCTATCAAACACTGGGCCACTATCAATCACTTTAGTTTTACTAATGAGAAAATAAAGAACAGCACGTTTTTGACCTGTGTCACAGGCCATTAATTTGTAATAATTAACGATTTAACCAGAAGTCGAAGGTCCAAGTAACTGGGTCCTGATGCAGTCCTTGGATCTGGAGACTTTGTAGCTTCTTTGTATCTGAATGTTATTACTTAGTACAGCTCAACTGGAAGAACAGTTCAAAATGTGATGCAAAGTGGTACAAAAGGATTCAAATTTCAATTTTATTCTAATGACCTTTCTTAAAGGGTTGTAGATGGCTTTTAATAAAAGGTATTAAAGACAAGATCAAAGTACTCACAAATAGCAGCAGTAGCAGGGGTGTTATAACGATGCCCTGAAAGAAATAAAAGAAATGATGATCATTTATCAGCATGTAAAGCAGAGCACTTTCTTTGCCATTTTAAACTCTGATGCATGGAAATGCTTATCCTTCTCACTTTCGTTTAATAAAATCTAGGAGATCCAATCTTGGCTCTCCCTACAATAATGCCTTAGCATCTCTATGACAATTACTAGTATTTGGCATCATTAAAAGTACAACCACCAATCTTCCTTAAACTTGTCTTTCCTTTTTTAAACTTAAGTTCCCTTCTACAGTACGTGTGTATCACAGGGGTAGAAGCTGGTGGCTGGCAAGCTTTCTCACTCCATGGCTTGCAACTCTAACTTGGATAAAGTGCCCCTTTTCGAGAGAAGACAGGTGGTTTAGTCCCAGTTGGGGTCCTCTCCTGAGCAAAGACCACGTCAGTTGTGATGAATGAGACGTGATTTTGTAATGTGAACTGATCTCCCCTAGGAAATGAGCTGGCATCTCAAAACTCATTTTACTTGATTAGACTCCATGTCTCCATGGTGGAAGTCAAGTCTTTCATCTAATTTAGCCACACAGGACCACTGCAGTCTCTCTGCCTCCCCTAGGCAGAACCCAGAAAAAGATTTGTTTCCTTCGATGACAGGGAACAGTTTGAGGCTGTTGCCGATGAGCCAGGATACTAGCTTTTGGGTTTCTTGAAGGTAAATCTTTAAATTAGGTGTTTGGGTTGGGAGTTAACACGACAGGCTTCAGTTTTAGAGCTGCAGATGATTATTCACCCTTCTTAGTTTTTCCTTTCTCTCTCAAAACTTTATTATGATTTATACAAGAAAAAGCATTTCATATTTTTATTAATGAATTCTACTTGGAACTTTAAAATTCCAGAGAGTCTGAGTGTGTGTGTGTGAGAGAGAGTGAGAGAGATACTGAGAAACATCAAGACCATACTGTGCCCAGGATCCAGGTCTGGGAACAATTCTTTCATTTTGGGAAAAAGCCCTTTTGGTATTTATTAAGAAGTCCTTTTGTCACAAAAGTAACTAAATTCTTTTGGATGTGGCCCAAGAGGGACTGGCTTACTTTATATGAACGTTGATACCATAACTTTATTGAACATTACACATGTGAACATCCACGGACTTGCTTTATCATTAAATAATAGAATAAATGCTTCTTTATTGTGTAAACTTTTGAGGTTAGCAAAAGGGAGTAGATTTTAATTTAAGTGTTATATTTTTAAATCTATTCATTAAAATGTGTATTGTGACTTATCATCTCCACTGGTGTCTATGAAAACAGGTTCTCCTTATCACATTTAAGACAGTTAAATGTGCTAACACAAAAATAATATTTAACTACTGTCTTCCAGTGACACAAAATATATATCAGACTTTGGGAACAACTCTAAACTCTACCAGGTCATGTTGTTTAAACTTTTCAAGGTCATTGTTCCACACTCTCATGTAGAAATGAGACTACCTTGCTAGTTTCAGTCTATGTGGGAGCCAGTTGATTAAACATATGGTTAAACATACTGGTGCAATGGGGACAACGGTATGAAGGAGGAGGTGATTATTTCTCTTAGGGAAGTCATGACAAGGAGGAGACAATGAACAAGATTTGAATAATTAATGGAAACTGACCCAGGAGAAAAGTGGTAAGGGCATTCCAGGAAGTGGGGAGGTACAGCGGCACGATGGATCTTCAAGTAGTTGAGCAGGGCAGAATAGAAAATGTGAAGTAAAGGGATTAGAACCCAGATCACAAAGGCCATGTATGCCAGGGCAGGGAGCCTGGAATTGATCCTATCAACAGTGGGAAACTACTGAAGAACATGAGTGAAGGCACAATGAGTAATTAGTAAACAAAGAAGGGATTTGACTTAGTTTATATATATAACCTAACCTAACCAAACAGTTTGACCTTCGTTATCTATGGATTTACCTAAATTCAGGTAAAGGATAATAGAAATGTGCATTAATGTTAATTATGGAATATCAATAACACTAGTAACACATGTAAGAAATAAGACATGATATCTGTGATAGGGCAAGAATTTTCACCCAGTTAGAAGCTTGAGCATTGTGTTAGTTATCTACTGCTGCTGTAACAGTTAAAATACCACAAGTGGATGGGTTCAACAAAGAGAAATTTATTCTCTCACACTCTAGGAAGCTAACAGTCCGAATTCAGGGTGCCAGCTCCAGGGGAAGGCTTTCTGTCTCCGTTGGCTCTGGGGGAAGGTCTTTGTCATCCATCTTCCCCTGGTCTAGGAGCTTCTCAGCGCAAGGACCCTGGGTCCAAAGGACATGCTCCCCTCCTGGTTCTTCATTCTTGGTGGCATGAAGTCTCTCTCTTCTCTGCCGGCCTCTCTCTTTTATATCTCAAAAGAGACTGACTCAAGATACAGCCTAATATTTTAAATAGAATCCTGCCTCATTAACATAACTGCCTCTAATCTTGCCTCATTAACATCATAGAGGTAGCATTTACAACACATAGAATAACCATAAAATGTCCACAAAATGGTGGACAACCACACAATACTGGGAATCATGGCCTAGTCAAGTTGACACACATTTTTGGGGGCAACAATTCAATCCATAACAAGCATTATCACCACTCTGCGGACATTAAGTTTTTGGAGGAATCAATGCTACACTGGTGTTGTACAGTGCATGTGCATCCATCTTCTTCCGGATCCCCATTTTTTTTTTTTTTTTTGCAATAGTGGGATGATAATAATATTAGTAATACTACAAGTAATATTAAAGGCATTTTGCTTTAGCACTTTCATGACATTTTAAAATTTGATCCTCCTCTACTAAGGGAATTAGGTTACATATCGTTATTGTTGGTAGGTGCCCTCATAGCACTGGTTGAGGTTCTGACTCAACAGTTGGTTCTGATTCATAGTGACCCTATGTATAACAGAATGAAACACTGCCTGGTCCTGTGCCATCGTGACAATCGTTGCTATGTTTGAGCCCACTGTTGCAGCCACTGTGTCAATCCATCTTGTCAAGGGGCTTCCTTTTGTTTGCTGACCCTGTACTTTACCAAGCATGATGTCCTTCTTCAGGGACTTGTACCTCCTGATAACATGTCCAAAGTATGTGAGGTGAAGTCTCGCCATCCTTGCTTCTAAGGAGCATTCTGGCTGTACTTCTTCCAAGACAGACTTGTTTGTTCTTCTGGAAGTCCATGGTATATTCAATATTCTTCACCAACACCATAATTCAAACCATCTATTCTTTTTTTGTCTTTCTTATTCATTGTCCAGCTTTCACATGTATATGAGGTGATTGAAAACACCATGGCTTTGGTCAGGTGTACCTTAATTCTCAAAAGTGGTATCTGCTTAACACTTTAAAGAAGTCTTTTGCAGCAGATTTGCCCAATGCGATAAGTCATTTAATTTCCTGACTTCTGCTTCCATGGACATTGATTGTGGATCCAAGTAAAATGAAATCCTTGACAATGTCAATATTTTCTCCATTTAGCATGATGTTGCTTATTGGTCCAGTTGTGAGGACTTTTGTTTTCTTTATGTTGAGGTGTAATCCATACTGAAGGCTGTAGTCTTTGACCTTCATAAGTAAGTGCTTCAAGTACTCTTCACTTTCAGCAAGCAAGGCTGTGTCATATGCATAACACAGGCTGTTAATGAGTCTTCCTCCAATTCTGATGCCAGGTTCTTTTTCATATAGGCCAGCTTCTCGGATTATGGGGTCACCACACAGATTGAATAAGTATGGTGAAAGGATACAACCCTGACACACACCTTTCCTAATTTTAAACCACGCAGTATCCCCTTATTCCAGTCAAAAGACTGCCTCTTGGTCTATGCCCATGTTCCACATGAGCACAATTAAATGTTCTGGAATTCCCATTCTTCACAATATTACACATAATTTGTTACCAACCACACAGTTGAACCACAAGTGCCTTTGGATAGTCAAAAACACACAGGTAAACATCTTTCTGGTATTTTCTGCTTTTACCAAGATTCATCTGACATCAGCAATGATATCATTGTTCCATGTCATCTTCTGAACCTGGCTTGAATTTCTGGCAGTTCCCTGTCAATGTACTGCTACAACCATTTTTGAATTATCGTCAGCCAAATTTTATTTGCATGTGATATTAATATTGTTTGATAATTTCTGCATTCTGTTGGATCATAGTTCTTTGGAATGGGCACAAATCTGGATCTCTTCCAGTCAGCTGGCCAGGTAGCTGTCTTTCAAATTTCTTGGCATAGACGAGTGAGCGCTTCCAGCGTTGTATCTGCTTGTTGCAACATTTCAATTGGTATTTGGTCAATTCCTGGAGCCTTGTTTTTCACCAGTGCCTTCAGTGCAGCTTGGACTTCTTCCTTCAGTACCATTGGTTGTTGATCATATGCTACCTCCTGAAATGCTGAACGTCGACCAGTTCTTTCTGGCACAGTGACTCTGTGTTATTCCATCTTCTATCGATGTTTCTTGCACTGTTAAATATTTTGCCCATAAAAAGAAAAAAAAAAATCCATTGCCGTTGAGTGGATTCTGACTCATAGCAACCCTACAGGAGAGAGTAGAACTACCCTATAGGGTTTCCAAAGAGCAGCTGGTGGATTTGAACTGCTGACCTTTTGGTTAGCAGCCATGCTCATACCCACTTGCCACTTGTGGCTTGAATTTTTTCTTCAGTTCTTTCTGCAAGTTATGTATTAGCCCCATTTTATACATGAGAGAACCAAAGTTCAGAAAAGCCAAGTAACCAACCCAAAGACACGCAGCAAATAAGCAGGAAAGCCTGGACTTGAACCCGCTTCTTCCAACGGCAAATTCAAAACTTACTCTACTACACCATTAGTAACTGGGTAGCAGATTTCAGTGACCAGAACAGTTTTCTACAGAGTTTTGCTTATGACATTTGTGTTGTTATTAAGTGCTGTGTGATCTTGGTCTCAAAGTTAATAACCTATTCTTAGTGATAACCTCATTCTGGAAAGTAGAACAGTTTTCTCTGCATAT